CTTGGTAGTGAGGACTGAGGGCAGTGGGCGACCAATCTCGCCCCGCCACTCAGTCCAAGCGAACCGGAGACACTGAATTTTGCGCCCAAAAACTGGGCTTACGTAGAGAAAGAATGTGGACGTAGTCAGCATAGGAGGTGTATAGATTACCCCAAGGGGCTGTAAAAAGCGCCTACCCTGATACGTTCGCAGAACAACAGGCCAAGCATCTCACTGAAGAAAGGACAAAGAGCACAGTTTATGCGCACTTGTAGCCAACATAGAACGAATAGATGATCTGAAAGGGTTGTAGAAAGAACCCACCCTGTTACGTTCCCAGAACAATAAGCCAAACATCTCACTGAAGAAAGCTGCGTCGTCGCCTGTTGGGGGGAATGAGGGCAGTGGGGGGACCATGCTCACCCCCGCCGCTCAGTCCCTAACCTGCACACCGGACGACGCCAAAGCACCCATGCCACCTCGTTTGTTGTCACCACATTCAAACTGTCGCCATCCGCGGTGGGTCAGCCCTACCCGTCGTAGATAGAAAAAAATTTTTGCAGATCGTGTACGAGACGAGCTGAGCAGAGGTTTAATAGCTGCTAACCAAATCCTGTATTACAGAAAAAGAAGGTGCAAAAACAAACAAAAAACTGTCGGAAAAAAAAATCACTGTACAAAAGTGGCAAAAACATCATTACATGCAATCTTTGATAATAACAACACTGGCATACTAGAAAATTATACATAACAGCACTATTAGCACAAATGAAACTATGCAGAACTCGGAAACAGTCTTTACAAATTGGACAACAGTCTTTACAGATTTTATAGCCAACTCTGTTACATAATTTTTAAGCGACTCCTAAGCAATTTCATGTAGTTCTTAAACAGTAATAATTCTTCGCTCGGCCTCAATTCGCGTCGAGCAGATCGCATGTGCGTCGCGCGGCCATCCCGGCAGCACATCCACCGCCTCGCCTCTATTCCACGTTCAGCGGATCGTATAAGCGGGGCGATGGCGCTTTACCGCATGCCTCACGCTCGACGAACTCCGAAAAGGAGTTCCAACTCGCTTTGAAAGGCCGCTCGTCTCCGAGCAGGTTTGGTGACTCATCTACCTTTTCAGCTGGCCGCTGAGGGAGCCTTGGAGACGTTCACGACAGAGATTATATTTCAGCGCATCCCTACAAATAAACTCATAAGAGAAGGGCCAAGCTACGAAACACATGATTTCTGCTGCCCAAAAACGGGCAATTAAAAACTTCAGTGCATCATCGCGCAACAATGCCATGATGAAACGAGTGCGTGATCGAGCAGTCAGATAATCCCCAGCGCCAGCATTCTCAACACAGCAGCAGTTCCAGAACAGGACAAACTATTCGCCGCGCTCCATTCAACAAAGCAAATGGCTGT